ACCTATCCCCTACTTTTTGAAAAATTTCAAAAGGAGCTCGAAAAATTTGCAAAAATTATGAACAATTTAGTAAAAAATGGGTAGAATTGTTTTTTTGCAAATATTTCGGAAAATATAAAAAATATTCGAAATTTTGAAAAATATCCTTAAAGAGGAGGAAGTTTCCTGGAAAAAAGTCTCACCAATCGGAACTCTATCACCAGTATTTATAATTATGATTTAGAATCGAAAATAGTGCTATAAGCGGGCGCACGCGTTGATCGATAACGACCTTTGAACAATGAAAATTATTTCAACCCATTAACCCATTTTTACAAATTTCAAATTAACATTGAAACTCTGATAATTTTTGACTGAAGTATTTTGACAGAGTTCTTGAATATAGAATCATACAATGAGTTTTACCTGCACTAAAGCAAATTCAAATCCAAGACAGAGTGGATGTAAACGTCATGTACGCACGTGATATTGAAAATCCCAAGAATTGGCCAGGGTCGTATTCGGAACCAACATCTTGTTGTTCGTAAATGCTATATCATACTTAGGAAAACTTTTTTTATAATAACGAGTGAAATGCACAAGTTTTGCAGTTTAACGGGAAAAATGCAGATTATATGTGTAATATAAAAAGATTTTCATTGGATTTTTCACAGCGCACTCAAGCATTATATGAAAAGAGACGTAATTATTTCTTTATTGATAATTNTCTTACCATATCATTCAGTTTGCCCTGAAAAAACAATTTTGGACTGCTGTCATCTTCAAATTCAAAATTCACTTGTCATCAGGTTTTTCGGGTTCTTCGTCAGAACTTGGAATCTCTTTCAAGATAGCAAGGGCCTTGCGCACTGTTATATCGGTCCCATGAGGAATGGGACGAATAGGTGTTTCCAGATTGGGGTATGAAAATGACTGCTTCTGTTTTAAACTATATTCTTCAACATAACACGAACAAAAGTAACAATCATCTATTGCTCCAGCCATACTACAGGAATCGCATATAGGAAACATGTTTTTCTGTCTCCAAAACAATTTCGAAGGTTTCAACATATTGTTAGCAGAATGTATGAAGTTTTTTCAAAGAGAAAATACAATCACTACAGGTGTTACCACATGAAATCAGTTCTACATATGTAGGAGTTCTCAAAGAGAGAAGTTGAACCTCTAAACGATGAGCAGCCACTGTCCGTCGCGTATTTCTGATAGGTACCGCTCTTGGTGGAATAAATATGTATCTGTAGAGTAGGGAGGGTGAGTGTAAGCCTACAGCACTTAGGCCACATGTGACCCATTGTACATCCTCCCGAGGGGTTTTCCTCCTAGGTCATCGTCCATCCTGTCCTTTTCAGGAAGGTTGACTGGTCACTGGGAAACATCTCCTTTATATCGGCAGGTGTAGGCCAAGACTCGCCGAACACACACTCTCTTATCGACGATAACTCCGGGCACTGGCATAGGACATGCTTGACAGTTTCAACTTCGTCCACAACGAATTGCCATTCTTAGACGTTTTGGTGAAGAGGACCGACACTAAGTGGAAAACATCTGTATACCGAAAACCCACTCAAACGGGACAGTATTTGAACCACGAATCCAACCACTATCAATCGACTAAGAGAGAACTCATCAAGACCCTGGAAGACCATGCTTTTGGGCTCTGTAATACGAAGGAAGGTCTCGAGAAAGGACTAGACATCATCAAAAATGATCAACGGAATAGCTACTCCAAAGCGATGGTAGAAAATACTTCGGCTTAAAGACAGCAGGAGCTTCGAAAGGAAGAGAAGCCGTCACAACCACTGCTTGCACTTCCCTACATCAGAGGATTATCGGAGAGGATAAGAATTCTCATAATAAAATTTTAGAATTTAATATTTCTATTAAAATACATTTTGACATCTCTTGTCAGTTGACTACTTTCATATTATCGCATTTGCTGACCAGGTGACGCCGAATCATCTGGTTACCAACAAACAGTATCGTTTACAGCTCACTCGTTTTATTTAAAGTCACAATATGTTCTTGCTGATGTTTAATGTCTTGCATAATGAAGAACAATAGTGAGGAATTGTGTCTTCCTGACAATACTGAAGAGGTTGCAAAAAGAGCTTCAATTGAATTGTTACCAAAAAAAAAACGGCTCAGCAGTACGACATCGCATATTCTAATTTCTTTAGCTAGTATAGACCTAAAAATGTCGAAGGAAATTTCAGTGAAACCGTCTTCTTAGCCTATCCATAAGAGAAATAAAAAATATAGAACTCGTCAACTTCGTGAGATGAATTTTCCGGCGTGAAGAGCCATGCCATTTATTAACAGAAGACATTAAATTAATGGACAGATCATTGTTTGTTCAAATTCCAAATACAAAAACGAAAATAGGTCATTCTTTCTGCATTGTTGGAAAAAACATTGACTATTTCAATAAATACGTTGCATTACGCTCTTCTGTTATCAATCATCAACGTATTTTCTGAAATACTCAAGTTATGAATGCAGTGCCAACTCAGGTGGTATTAACACGTTCGGAAAAATGCCCTCTACCATTGCTGAGATTCTGAACCTCCTGAAACCAAAGGAATATACAGGTCATTATTTCAGAAGGTCCCCTGCTTCTTTGCTAGCAAAATCAGGAACAAATATAAGGGATATTAAGAAGTACGGAGGATGGAAGTCTACAACAGTAGCTGAGGGTTACATCGATCAATCTATTTCTTATAAAAATGCTATTGCGGAAAGAATAATCTCAAATGCTAGTTCCAGCGTTAAAACATCGTATTCTTCACTTAAAGAATTAAATGTTAATGCCATGAAATTTTCAACTCAGATAGTTCAAATATATTACAACGCTTTTCAACATCGCAAAGTATTGATATCAGCAGTTGCGCTAATATTAATGTTCATAAATAATAATAATCTAATGAATGTAATAAATACATAATATCAGCAGTTGCGCTAATATTAATGTTCATAAATAATAATAATGTAATGAATGTATGAAATACATTTGTAACAAAATTTAATTGTATCTACATATTATTGTTCACAATGAAACTTCCTTGGAAATTGAATAATTATGTTTTGTTCATTGCTGTTTGGGCTAAAAAAATTGTATTGAAAATATTTTCAACCCACTACTTTGTAAACATCATATTTTAATACTCTTAACAATTATTGAAAATGTCACTTTTAATGACAGTTGTATCAAAATTAATTAATTCATTATTATTCCGCAGCACATCCTAATACACGTGCTTTTATCACGCATGGAGGAATACTGAGTACAACTGAAGCTATACATTACGGAGTGCCAATGATTGGTATACCCATATTGGGGGACCAGTATATGAATGTTGCAAGAATGGTGCGGAAGCGACTATGCATCAATCTTCCGCTTCCAGAACTTACTGAAAATTCTTTTCATGAAGCTATCAGAGAAGTGATAGAAAACCCAGAGTAAGTTTCACTGAAAATCTAATTTAACACGTTCGCTGCGTAAAATAATTAAGGCCTTCACTCTTGTGCGGGACATGCTTATTTATCTTTTTTTTGTTTCCTATTAAAAATAACCGCATCAACCTTATGGTTTTTAGCGGTGCAAAAGATATTTACAAGCAGTAACTACATTAATTGAAAATTTATATTTTGTTGGGCAAGTTCAGAGCACTCAAGTAATTCATTATCTTCCTAGCACTGAAATAACTCGAGTTTTTCTGGGTTCCCTTCGATATTTTGCACATTTTCCTTTCTAATTGAAACACTGGACACTGAACTATGATACTATTGTAAATCATGCCTGAAAGAAAATAACGCCGGCCGCCACTGGTAACCATAAACCAAACGTGATGTAGCTAAGAGCGCGCGAATGTACGATGATTCCCCACCACTCTAGAAGCAGCGAGCAACTTCAACGGAACTTCGGCGAAATTTCTACGGCATTCGATTACGATATTTAAAGGCTAGTCACGAGGATATCGAAACAGTCAAGTGGACGTTACAGTGCGGTACGCGAAGTAATTTAGTGAGGCGATAGATATTCAAATATTAGTTGATGTTTTTGTTGAAGTGTTTGTTGTATTTGAAGTGAAATAAAGTTGAGTTTGATCATTCAGTGTAGTCAATTAATGGTCAACCCACGGGTAAAAACCTAACATTTGATGTCGGAAGTGGAGTAATTGACTGAAAATTTTCTGTTAAATGTTGAAAACAACGAGTGTCGATTACGACGAACCCAAGAAAATGTTTCTGGCTTTGCAAGCGAGCCTAGCAGAGAATGAAAAACGCAGAAGAGAGGAAGCTGAAGGCGGAAGTGAGGAAGAACGATTACGTCGAAACGAAGATCGCAAACTACTATTAGATATTCTGGAAAAACAAGAATGAAACAGAAAGGAATATCGTGAATTATTGGTAAATATTCAGGAGAAACGAGAAAAAGACAAAAAAATGAACCTTTATTCATTCAAAGATTTGAAATCTTCCCAAGTGAGTAAAGAAGAGGTACAGGAATTGATTCAGGAGGAATTTGAAAATGATTTCTGGAAACAAAGGAGGGATTGAAACAAATAGTGGATGAAGAATTTCATGGTGTTGAAAGAAAACTTGAAGGGGAGCTTGGAGGAGTTGGAAAAAAATTTTGGAAGAAGCTGGAGGGAGTCGAAAAAAAAATTGAAGAGGTTTTCCGGAAATTTTGGAAAGGAAAAAGTCACGGAAACGCAGATAGCCTCTCAAGAAGATCATGTCTGACATTCGGATGCAAATTTTGCCAACGCCAGAGTGACAAGGATACCCAGCTACCAGAAGAAGAACTTCCCACCAGACGTGATGAGGTAGTTGGCAGAGACTCCTTTATGGATAGCTCTGATAGGGAGATAAACTTCCCTATCTCCCGCCGCTTCGAGTTCCCTCTGACCCGGACGGTAGCAACCTGTAAAGGTCCCTTGTCCAGGAATACGGATAGACAATTTGGGAAATCACCTGATCACGGTGTTGTACGATCGTTAACAGCCTTTGAGGGTGACACTACCTTCCTGACGAGGCAAGACATCATCGTAGTGCAGAAGGAGGATCCCGTCTTGAAAACTATACGAGAATGGTACGAGAATGAATTGCCAAAGGAGCGAGATTGAAATGACGGAAATGCCCAAACACTGCCTGCATGAAAAGGGTTCACTGGCTCCAATGGTATTCCATGAGCGTTCGAGATTACCTACTCACTCGGAAATGGGAAAGCCCGGATGGAAGAACCCACAGATTCTAGACGATCCTTTTTAAGACGTGAATTCCGAGTATCTTTGAACAGCTCCACGATGGTCTCACTGAAAGGCATTCCGGAGTAAATAGAACTCTAGCGAGAGTGCGTGAGAGGTACTATTGGGTCAATTGCCGTCGAGACGTGGAAGAGTGGTGTAAGCACTGTGACCTGTGCTCTTCGAGAAAGGGTCCAAAGACAAGGCAAATATGAAATTTGAAGCAGTACCTCAGCGGGTGCCCTTTCGAGAGAATTGTAATCGATATTTTGGGACCATTTCCTATGACCACATCCGGTAACAAATACCAATAAGCCTGAAGTAGTAGCCTTACCCAATCAAGAGCCTAAACCGGTGGCAGAAGCCCTGATGCAGAACGTAATTGCCAGACACGGAGTACCCCAAGAACAATACTCGGATCAGGGCCGCAACTTCGGATCGGACTCATGGAAGGAAATGATGGCTTTGTTGGTGATAAAGAAGACAAGAAGCAACTGCTATTCACCCACAATCCGATGAAATGGCCGAGAGGCACAATCGCACCATCACAAAATACCTATCGATGTTTGTCTCCGAAAACCAAAGAGACTGGGTTAAATTGGTCCCTCCATCCATGTTGTTAACTGGTAGAGAACAGAAGCTTCCGATAGATGTATTGTATGGCAGTCCTTCCGATGAATCTCGAGAGGTACCTCTTTCAGAGTATATGGATGACCTGAAGGAGACACTTGAAATTATACACGAATTTGCCAGAACCAAATTACAGCTTTCTAGCGACAGGATGAAGATGAGATTTGACAAAAAGTCGCTGCCAGTGAGCTTCGAAGAGGGCGATGCAGTGTTGCTCTACCACCCCAACGTCGGAAAGGTTTGTGTCCCAAGTTGCAGAGACCGTGGCAAAACCCTTACTTGATAATCAAAAAGACAAACGTTCTGGTGTACATAATCCAATTGTCACCCAGAAGCAAACCTAAAGTTTTACACACAGAGAGGCTGAGTCCTTACATGGGTCGTGATGTCCCCTCTTGGAATGTTGTTCGAGGCGAACAACTTCAGGGAAAGGGGTAGCGTTGTAAATCATGCCCGAAAAAAGTAACGCTGGCCGCCACTGGTAACCATAAACCAAACGTGACGTAGCTAGGAGCGCGCGAATGTACGATGATTCTCCACCACTCTAGAAGCAACGATAATAATGCTTTCGACTTCGAAGGAACTTTGGCGAAATTTCTACGGCATTCGATTACGATATTTCGAGGCTAGCGGGGAGGATATCGAGACAATCGAGTGAACGTTACAGTGCGGTACGCGAAGTGATCTAGTAAGGCGATAGACATTCAAAATAATAGTTGAAGTTTTAGTTGAAGTGTTTGTTGTATTTGAAGTGAAATGAAGTTGAGTAGTTTGATTATTCAGTGTAGGTCAATCCAGAGGTAAATACGTGACAATATGTTGTACTGTCAGTGCAACTTCGCAAATGTGGCACTGTGGTTGATCTGCTAGAGATATCAAGTATTCGTGGGTGAGTTTGGTGTGTCCTGATCGAAGTCGAGTGATGAAACCTTGTTCCCTCCTTTTCAGTGCTCCATAGTGACATAATCCGAATTTGACCCCTTCGAGCGGGTCGATTGTGGGAGCCCCTTTCTTGATTGCTATGAACCAAGTGTTGGGTCCACCGGGTGGCTAGCCCAGTGGACCCATGGCCGGCACCGGCACCGGCGAGAACAGATAATACGCGGGAATCAGTATCAATATCTGACTTTTATTTAGCATATTAATCACATTACGAAGTTAGCTCACCGCACTTAGGATTGTATTATATATATACTGACACGAACCTTCTTGTAATTCAGTTTGATGAGGACAAAACTAGAATAAGGATCCATGATATGGAATTCCATATGCGATCAATAAACAAAAGATATTTCTAAAATTTCTCAGTTTCAGAATCAATGGGACTCACTCCCCAAGGAACTGTCATTACGCTAATCTGCTTTCTAAATTCGAATTTGTGGCATTAGAGTAAAGAAGAAATCAGGTATCTGTTTCAATTTCTATATAAGTTATTGAATGGCAAAATAGAATGTTCTGCACTTCTTCTAGGAATTGAAATATTCTTTTCAAGACTAGCATGTACGCACAATAATACTTTTTAATGCAAAAGAGTACAAGGGAACCAATTGACTTATTGGTGTCGCAATGCAAACAAGCTCTCTGATATCGATTTTTTTTGTTGCAGTAGTGAAATTATGAATGTTCTCATTTATATGTCATTATTATTATACTTTCTGCTAGAGTGCTCAATAATAGATTTTGTTACAGATATCGAAATAACGCGCAAAAATATTCCAAGATTTTTAGAGACCGTCTGAATAAACCTCTAGACGAAGCAGTGTTCTGGATCGAATACGTTTTGAGGCACAGTGGAGCAACTCATTTGAGGAATGCATCAATGGATTTGTATTGGTTTCAATTATACACTTTGGATGTTTGGTTATTTATATTTTCATGGCCCATACTCTTTTATCTTTTTGGGAGAGCTTAACGATTTCGTATTTTTATGGTGTATTTTATAAGGTAATTTGTTAGTGAAATAGTAGTTACTATTTGATAGTTCAAATCAAATCAAATTAAATTTTATTAAATCCGTTTTCCTATTATACAATGAATTGGACGTATCTGGTGAGGTGTAAAACCCATACACTCACTACAAAAAAATAGTTACTCCTAAATTACTAGTTTACAGGTAAAAGATCATTCACATTGTAAATGTAAATTTCAATGTAAAGGATGTTGAAAAGGAAGACAAACATTTGTGACATAATCTTTCTGGCTGCTCGCCTCTTCTCTCTTCCTTTTGGAATTTATTTGGAAAGTGTTTGACGATTTCCTTTTTATTTATGTAATTCACCTCCTCAGACTTTCTCAATTTTTCTGATTGAATTTTCGAACTCTATACTTTTACAAAGACTGATTGCTTTTCCCAAGTCCATCTCATGACTTGGGACTGTCTTCCAAATCCTTCAGCTCACAACTTTGGGCTTTGTTGATTAAATCAGTAATAAATGTATCTACACTTTCCCTTTTTTCTTGCTTGATTGGCGGTTATGGCTTTTTCTGGTACTTGTTGTAAGCTTTCAACCTCAATTTTTATTGTTGTATTTTTCATTTTTACTATGTTATTATTCGTGTTTCGGCACCATGTCGTGTTTATAGGCAAGTAAATGATACACACCTGTCGCCAAGATTCAGAATGTCCATTATTCAAAAATAAAATATCACTTATGACACTGCAGTCATTGTTGCCAACTTGAGTTCGTTCCGAAATACCTATGTAAACATACTTCATAGTGTGTAGAAGGAAAATATGTTATAACTGAATAGTGATTATGAATAAACAACTCATCTAAGGTGAGTCCAGGTGAATAAATCAGGAAAAATATTAATTATTTATAAGATCCATGTCAATGAAAAAATAAAAATGAGAAATGGTACCAAAAATACCTCTACAGAGGTATTTCTGTGTTGATACCTAACGGTGACACGCAAGTGGGCTTAAATTCCCAGGGGGTGGGACCACCATTGTTTATTTTCCAGTGGATTAATGACCCGACTTGACCGCTAGAACCTTCTACAGTGCAACAAATTCTTCTATTCATTCTGCAGACGACCCTCATCCTAGGGTGGGGTTCCGTTGATAGACTCCGTGATTATTCACATCAACTCAGTTCACCCTGCAGATCTAGGTTGGGAGAATTTTGGTGATCAAGGGTGAAACTAAATACGTAGCTTTCTGCTAATCATTTCCTGTGACTATCTTCACGCCAATTCAGATACTTTTGCTTATGAGACGACACCAGTGCAAGCGCAACTCCCAACAAATACAGAAGTCCAAAATTGTGAGTTTCAATTTACCGGCCAAACTCAATTTCTTTCTGATATTTTCACTCGTTAGAGTACGACTTCGACTTGCCATTCTCGGCTAACCAACAGATGCGTAACCTCAATAGAAGCTGTTACTGCCTCGCCACGAGGACTGCCAGTTTTGTTGAGAGNGGCACAGTGGAGCAACTCATTTGAGGAATGCATCAATGGATTTGTATTGGTTTCAATTATACACTTTGGATGTTTGGTTATTTATATTTTCATGGCCCATACTCTTTTATCTTTTTGGGAGAGCTTAACGATTTCGTATTTTTATGGTGTATTTTATAAGGTAATTTGTTAGTGAAATAGTAGTTACTATTTGATAGTTCAAATCAAATCAAATTAAATTTTATTAAATCCGTTTTCCTATTATACAATGAATTGGACGTATCTGGTGAGGTGTAAAATCCATACACTCACTACAAAAAAATAGTTACTCCTAAATTACTAGTTTACAGGTAAAAGATCATTCACATTGTAAATGTAAATTTCAATGTAAAGGATGTTGAAAAGGAAGACAAACATTTGTGACATAATCTTTCTGGCTGCTCGCCTCTTCTCTCTTCCTTTTGGAATTTATTTGGAAAGTGTTTGACGATTTCCTTTTTATTTATGTAATTCACCTCCTCAGACTTTCTCAATTTTTCTGATTGAATTTTCGAACTCTATACTTTTACAAAGACTGATTGCTTTTCCCAAGTCCATCTCATGACTTGGGACTGTCTTCCAAATCCTTCAGCTCACAACTTTGGGCTTTGTTGATTAAATCAGTAATAAATGTATCTACACTTTCCCTTTTTTCTTGCTTGATTGGCGGTTATGGCTTTTTCTGGTACTTGTTGTAAGCTTTCAACCTCAATTTTTATTGTTGTATTTTTCATTTTTACTATGTTATTATTCGTGTTTCGGCACCATGTCGTGTTTATAGGCAAGTAAATGATACACACTTGTCGCCAAGATTCAGAATGTCCATTATTCAAAAATAAAATATCACTTATGACACTGCAGTCATTGTTGCCAACTTGAGTTCGTTCCGAAATACCTATGTAAACATACTTCATAGTGTGTAGAAGGAAAATATGTTATAACTGAATAGTGATTATGAATAAACAACTCATCTAAGGTGAGTCCAGGTGAATGAATCAGGAAAAATATTACTTATTTATAAGATTCATGTCAATGGAAAAATAACAATGAGAAATGGTACCTAAATTACCTCAACAGAGGTATTTCTGTGTTGATACCTAACGGTGACATGGAAGTGGGCTTAAATTCCCAGGGGGTGGGACCACCATTGTTAATTTTTCAGTGGATTAACGACCCGACTTGACCGCTAGAACCTTCTACAGTGCAACAAATTCTTCTATCCATTCTGCAGACGACCCTCATCCTAGGGTGGGGTTCCGTTGATAGACTCCGTGATTATTCACATTAACTCAGTTCACCCTGCAGATCTAGGTTAGGAAAATTTCCGTGATCAAGGGTGGAACTGAATACGTAGCTTTCTGTTAATCATTTCCTCTGACTATCTTCACGCCAATTCAGATACTTTTGCTTATGATACGACACCAGTGCAAGCGCAACTCTCAACAAATACAGTAGTCCAAAATTGTGAGTTTCAATTTACCGGCCAAACTCAATTTCTTTCTGATATTTTCACTCGTTAGAGTACGACTTCGACTTGCCATTCTCGGCTAACCAACAGATGCGTAACCTCAATAGAAGCTGTTACTGCCTCGCCACGAGGACTGCCAGTTTTGTTGAGAGTGAGTGCTATAGTGTGAACAATATTTTTCGTTCAGCTAACACAAACAAACCGGATGGTTTGCCCACACGATAACATGCTACGTATAAATGTTCTTGTGAAAAACTCAAATCCAAGCCACAGTCCACCAAAAAAAATTTTGTTTTGCTGCCGAAAAAAAATAAACTGATTTTGGTTAATTCATCTGCGCTGATTCCATAAATACAAACTTTTTCTTTGTATCAGCTCTAGTTTTCGATATATAACATACTCATCAAATACTTGAATATTCTTACATTTCTGTATATTCCACCACTATAATTGCAATATGTTCATAAACAGACTTTACAAATTCTAAGACAAATGCATACTAATGACTTATTGTAAATACCCATAACATGAAATTTGCGCTAATTGCTTCTTACTTATTGTCCGATAAGTAAATAGTATTTTCTCGGAAATGGCCTTAATAAATTCCTATAAAGTCGACTGCATTCCATTGTCAAGTACGCCGGCAGACACCTTTCAGGTGAATGCAAAAAACCTAGGGCAGAACCCCCTAAGTGCAACAACTGTAAGGGGGTGCATACCGCGAACTACCAAGGTTGTCCTGAGTTCCCCAAGGTTCGCAGGAGGACCAAGGTGGTAGCAAATGCCCCCCAAAAAGCATCCACACCTGGGAGGCGTCCTGCCGGAGCATCTGGCACGCGCCCGGGGATAAGTTATGCAGGAGCGGCTAAGAGCGGCAACATCTCCGCTAAGCCGTCCTCAGCATCAAATGATCCTAGTCCGTCGAAGGTTAGTGACATCTGCTCCGCTCTGGACCAGATGAAGAAACTCTTTATTCAGTTCCCCGTACTCGAGAAAATGTTTACGGTGAACACCAGCGTGATAACTGAAACCTGTTAATGGCTAGACAACCAAAATTGCCTAGCTCTCTTAAGGTTGTATTTTTAAAAAGGCTCCGGGAATGGATTCAATCAACAATAGGTTGTTGAAGCAGCTCCCGGAGAACTTTATCAGATATTTGCTGGATATTATAAACAGCTCAATCGCCCTCAGATACTTCCCTCGAAGATGGAAGCATGCCGTAGTTGTCATGATTCCGAAACAGGGCCAGAACCCGCTGTTCCCAGAGAATCACCGTCCAATTAGTCTGCTTTGCTCAGCGGCTGAGCTGGTTGAACGTGTTGTGCTGCAAAGGCTAACTGAAGTAGTTGAAGACCGAAACGTTCTGCCTGATGAACAATTCGGTTTTAGGAGGACACACCCCACTGAGCTGCAGGCCTTGAGACTGGTCGAAAACTCGAAAACATTTCAGAGCTAAATAACAGGAAGACAGTCCATCTTGTCCTCCTGGACATTTCAAAAGCCTTCGACCGTGTATGGCACGAAGGCTTACTACATAAAATGCTCGATTCCGACCTGCTTCGGGACCTGATCCGGTGGATTAGGTCCTTTCTGAAAGGCAGATCATTTCAGTTCCGAGTTGAAGGAACCCTGTCTCCGGTCAGGGAAATCCAAGCTGGAGTGCCTCAAGGAGCTGTGCTGTCTCCACTATTGTACAGCCTTTACGTGAGCGACCTTCCGAGGTTCGATCACGTGAAGACTTCCCTATACGCCGATGATACGGCTCTCCTCGCTTCTTCCATGGGACGGGGGTTGGCGGTCGTCTACATGCAACGCGCATTGGACGACCTCGAACGCTGGTACCTACAGTGGAAGATCCAGGTGAACCCAGAAAAAACTCAGGCGATAGATCTGGGGAGGCGCAATGTTTCTCCAGACACAAAAGTCACGATCTCAGGCAGGGAGATCGAATGGCAAACGCGAGACAAATGCCTAGGTCTTTGGTTAGACCGTCGACTCACCTGGGTAAATCACATTGAGTACATCAAGGACAGAATACCAATGAGGATAGCTAAACTCTATCCTCTGATAAACCGAAAGTCAAAACTAAATCTCAAGAACAAGATTTT